GTGTCGTCATTACATGGAGAGGGGTAATGCGATTCGAGCTATGTGGGGAACTTGACCGGTATACACTTTAACTTTTGAACAGTCGTTAATGACCCGCTGATAGTATTAAATTTTGACGGCAGCACTACAAAAACTCTAGGTCTCCGATGGAACCCATTAAATAACATTTATCAATACGAGGTGAATACGGAATTCAATAATAACATTAGTGCGATAACGAAAAGAGACGTGTTGTCGACTATAGCCACAATATATGATCCAGTTGGTTTAATTGGACCGGTTATTATTACTGCTAAAAAAATAATGCAAGAGTGTTGGCAGCACCAGGTAGAGTGGGACGATGTAGTACTTGCCGTGATAGAGACCGTTTGGGAATTTTATAGAGCAAATGTATCATCCATTGAAAACATAACAATACCATGGCTTATCATCGACTGTGAAAAAGTTGTCGGAGTTCAAGTACACGGTTAGTGCGTGCGTATGGGGTCTGTTTGATCGTTCGAGCGACGGACCGTACAGGCGTATGTGCGATGCGTTTAACAGCAGTCAAATCTCGGGTGGCTTCACTAAAAATAATNACAGCAGTCAAATCTCGGGTGGCTTCACTAAAAATAATATCATTAGCTCGCCTCGAATTATGTGCCGCAGTGTAATTAGTCAGTCCGTATGAGATATTAGTGCCACGTTTACGAGTGAATATAAATAAAAAACGTTTCTGACCCGACTCAACCATAGTGTTAGCGTGGATAAAGTCTCTTACGTCACGTTGGAAAACGTTTGTTGCAAATCGCGTAGAGAAAATTTATGAAGCTATAAATCAATCACGTGGCTGTCAACCAAATGAATTACGTAACAACGAATTGTGGTGGAATGGTCCGGCATGGATTAATCTAGACGAGAACGTCTGGCCGTCAAGTCCAAAAAAAGCCGACATTGAAGCAACTGAGGAAAGACTGGTATTTTTTACAGTACCGTCGAACGAAAAGGAATTTTTTCTGCTAAATAAGTTTTCCAATTTTATGAAATTAATACGCGTTACCGCTTATCTATTACGGTAGAAAAGGCGCGTCATTGAAAAAATAAAAACCGCGGTTGAAATTGAAGTAAATGAGCTAAACAACTCTAATAAAAATTGTGTCAAAATTTGTATTTTAAACAGGATTTAATAAAATTAACATGTAAAGAAATGGTCAAACCGAACAGTAAATTATATTTTCTTAATCCATTACTAGATAAAAACGGTGTAATTCGCGTTGCAGGGCGTCTAAACAATGCTACGTTACTTCCGCACAGTAAGAAGAATCCAATAGTTCTGCCGGCTAATTCAAATATAACTAAGTTCATCTTCGAGCACAAACATATCTGCTATGATAGAGTACTTTATGCGAGTGTTATTGATTTTGCGGGTCCGGTGCTAATAAAGAGTAGTATGCGCCGTAACGTGAATAAACTAAAAGCGTATATATGTATTTTCATTTACTTTTCCTCAAAGGTCTCCCATATTGAACTGGACGATGATCTTGCCACTGAATCATTTTTGGGTGCATTACGATGATTTTGAATCTGTACTCAGATAATGCAACGACTTCGTTGGAGCTAACAACAAATTAAAAAAACTCGCGGCATTGTTCGAAACAAAGCAACATAAAGAAGCGTTAAATAATTGTGTCATTACAATGGAGCATTGTGAAATTGATACCAGGAAACAACAAAATTATATAGGTAATATGGGTAAAAACTGTCAAAGGTGAGATAAAGTGTTCAGTTCGTTACTTGGTCCGTTCATCGCAGAAGAAGATTTAAAAAAATTTTAATTTAAATTTAAAAAGATTTAAACTATATTTATTTTTCACTTTTTAGTTTCATGTTATGATAATAGTTAATATCAATATCATGGTTGTAAGGGGTAACGGGAAATCAGGGTTCGATTTCGGAGAGGGAGTCTAAGAAACGGCTACCACATCCAAAGAAAGCAGCAGGCGCGCAACGTGGTGGTAGTGACGAAAAATGACATACGGGAATCATCCCCCGTAATCGGAATGAATATACTACATATCTCTTAATGAGTATAAAGCGTATTAATATATAAATTTTAATATTAATTAGAATATATATATATATATATATACATGTAAAGCGACTTAAGTACGTAAACGTATCACGCATGAGGTATAGCCGTTTTTTGTGGGCGGGAGTGGCGGGGGGAACATTATACACGAGGCATATACGGCGGCAGCGGCGTCGGCTGTAGGAATATATAAATGAATATTAATATATGAATATATATATTAATATTAGCGGTGGCGGTAGGAATATAAGATCATCGCATAATATTGCGGCACTTTCGCTGGCGTCGATGACACGATGTCCGGCGTGATCCTCGGGCGTCAAAAGGTTAGCAGCGTAGATGACGATNTTTCACTTTTTAGTTTCATGTTATGATAATAGTTAATATCAATATCATGGTTGTAAGGGGTAACGGGAAATCAGGGTTCGATTTCGGAGAGGGAGTCTAAGAAACGGCTACCACATCCAAAGAAAGCAGCAGGCGCGCAACGTGGTGGTAGTGACGAAAAATGACATACGGGAATCATCCCCCGTAATCGGAATGAATATACTACATATCTCTTAATGAGTATAAAGCGTATTAATATATAAATTTTAATATTAATTAGAATATATATATATANACATCGTACGGCACTTGCTGGACTTTGCACCGCGGCGTATAACG